TTTTGGGGAAGGCTATTTTCCACAGAAATGTAGTCCTCCGCACTCTCAGGGTGGGGCTCTGCATCGCCAAAGGGAAAGAATGGTGCTCAGCCGCAGACATGGGAGGCTAGGACGGGAAACAGTGCTCACCTAGGATTCTCCTATTGCCCACGCTGTGGCCTGTGCCAGAAGGAATGTTTCACAGATAATGAGCCATTAGCCTACATGAGCCTGAAGACTGGCTAAGATTCTTGCTCGGTATAATGCAAGTGGTATGGTGAATGGATAGAACACAGACTCTGGAGTCAGATAATCCAGGGTTTGAATCCAACTCTTGCTTTTTTTTTTTTTTTTGGCTCTGAGCCATTGAACAAGTTATTTAGCCGCACTATACTTCAATTTGTAAAATGGGGATAATTATTCCTGCTTCTTACTGCTACCAAGATTAATGAAATAACACATGTGGAAACCCCAGGCATCCAGGGAGTTCAATTAGCAAGATTTCCTTCCTCCTTATCCTCTTGAGTATTCATGGTGATATATACCCACCAGGAAAAAGGAAAGAGCTCTGATCAGTGTCAGGATTCCCAAGTTTGGTCCAGATCCTGCCTTACAAATGCCACCAGCTCTTTCATAGGGCTGTTAGGAGGATCAAATAAGGCCATGAATGTGAAGGCTTTTGAAAACAACTTTGTAACTACAAGACACTATCATCTGTGTATCTTCTGTTGTTGGTCTATTGACATCAGATCTTAATAGCTGAAGGAAGCAGCTCAGTATACTAGATGTACTAACTGCAAATCTCTGGTCTGTCACATTGTCCCTCAGGTCCTGTATTAGTTTCCTATGACTGCTGTAACAAATTATCACAAACATGATGACTTAAAACAACAGAAATTCATTCTCCTACCATTCTGTAGGCCCAAGGTCTAAAACTAACATATTGGCAGGGCATGGTTCCTTCTGAAAGCTCCAGGGGAGAATCTTTCTGTGCCTCTTCCAGCGTCTGGTTGTCTCTGGTGTTCCTTGGATTGTGGCTGCATAGCTCTAGTCTCTGTTCTGTCTTTTCACATGGCCATCTTCTTTGTGTCTCTGTGTGTCCTTTTCCTATTTCTTATAAAGATGCACTACTCTCATTGGATTTGGGGATTACTCTAATTCACCCAATATAATCTCATCTCAATTCTTTCCTTAATTACATCTGAAAGATCCTTATTCCAAATAAGGCCACATTCAGACGTTCCAGGTGAAGAAGAATTTGGGGGCAGGGAGGACTCTATAGAATCCACTCTAGAACCTCAGAACCTTCATCTAAACCATTTCTGACCCTCATTCAATGTATGTTTTTATTGAGTTCTAGATTGCACCAAACAGGAAAACTCTTCAGATAGTGCTTACCATTAGCTCAGTTTTCTGTGCAGAGGGGATGCAGGAGGTCAGAATGGAGATGCCTCATGGTGAGGCTGGAGAAGGGCTAATTCTGGAAATGAGAGGAAGGGCAAAGCAAACAAGAGAATAAGTGTCTGTCTTTGAGAGAGAATGGTTTGAAATGAATAGACAGCATGCCTTCCAGGAGCCGTGCAGCTTGAAGAGAGAACACCAGTCTTGAAATCAGACCTGGATCATTGGTTTCCCATTTTTACAGGATCCCAGTATTCTCACATCATTTAGTTATTTCAACTGACATTTTATGAATATGTAGACAGTATGCCATTCACTATTTGGATTCTCAGTTATTGTAACAGTGGTGTGTTGGTAAATGGTTAACCATAATGAAAAATAATGTATGCATATATGTAAATGAGTTTGTTATAAATTTTGCTTATATGAAGAATGTGTAACATGCAATTTATAAAATACAATTTATTGCATTTTAGTAAAATGTACAATCCCCTTTATTGTAAATTCCATATAGCCACTGATCTCACAGGCTGCTTGCTTTCATATTGGCTTAATTCATATCCACAGCCAAACTGTGGTTACAATTGACAAAGGAATGTAGCTCCAAGATGAATGTTGGTTAATGTCTTTTTTGAAGTTAAAGAAATGTGAAACAACAAAAACGTGTGTTGGAACATCATTTGCTCATCAGTGACACTAGTGACTTTTTGCTGAATCAGATGATAGTTTTTGAGTACTGGAAAAATGTTTCCTCAATTTTTTATGCTAATCCCAAAGTAAGGGCCACAGTCATGGCACACGTTTAAGTGTACTCTGCATCATTATGTTTTCTCTATTACTTTCTTACATTTAGACAATCAACAAAACAATAAAGTTCTGATTTATATTGCTTGCTGATTTCCATGACATAAACTCTCATCATGGCCAGTTTCAAGTTCCCAACATAATGCCATTGAATGCAGAGTGGGGAAGACAGGTCCAGAAGCACCAATGATCCAGTATTTAATTTCCCCTGTAGACACATAAGAGATGTCAATTACCTCAAGAACATAGATATCAGTAATGTCATAAAATAATTAAGAAACAATGAGCTTTGAGATTTTATTCCCTCTGTTTAGTATAATTTATTTAGTTGTAAATTTCTTTTAAAGGCAGGGTTTTGCTCTGTTGCCCAGGCTGGAGTGCAGTGGCTATTCACAGGTGTGTTAGTCCATTCTCACACTGCTATAAAGATACTACCCAAGACTGGGTAATTTATAAAGGATAAAGGTTTAATTGACTCACAGTTCCACATGGCTAAGGAGGTCCCATGAAACTTATAATCATGGCAGAAGGCAAAGGAGAAGCAAGGACCTTCTTCACATCACAGTAGGAGAGAGAAGTGCAGCCAAGAGCAGAAAATATTGCCTTCTAAAACCATCCCATCTTGTGAGAGCTCACTCACTGTCTTAAGACCAGCATGGAGAGGAAACTGCCCCCATGATCCAATCACCTCCCAGCTTGTCCCTTTCTCAACACTTGGGGATTATAGGGATTACAATTCGAGATAAGATTTGGGTGGGGATACAGTGGCAAACCACACCAACAGGCATGATCATGATAGTCCATTCTCACACTGCTATAAAGATGCTACAGCCCCGGGGTCTATCATGGGGAGGGGGGAGGGGTGAGGGGGGAGGGATTGCACTGGGAGTTATACCTGATGTAAATGACGAGTTGATGGGTGCTGATGAGTTGATGGGTGCAGCACAGCAACATGGCACAAGTATACATATGTAACAAACCTGCACATTATGCACATGTACCCTAGAACTTAAAGTATAATAATAATAAAAAATAAAAAATAAAAAAAAAAGATGCTACAGCCTCAAACTCTTGGACTCAAGGGATCCTCATGCTTCAGTCTCCCAACTAGCTGGGACTACAGGCATGTACCACCACACCCAGCTTAACTGTAAGTTTATATAATTTAATTTAATTTTATATGTTTAATAATGGCCATGTTCATCAAGCACCTCACAAGCTTTCTGAAAATCTATTTTTTATTTTTATTTAAAAAATATTTTTGTAGACATGAGGTCTCGCTATATTGCCCAGACTGTTTTCAAACTCTTGGCCTCAAAGATTCTCCCACCTAGGCCTCCACAAGTGGTAGGGTTACAGGCGTGCCACTGTGCCCATCCAGATTCCTGAAAATTTAACAGTTTTATTAATTGGTACATGCTGGTTCAAGCACACACCACTGGGAATAGTTTTGAGGAGGACAGTTGAGTGCTGGGGAAAGGAAGGAAGAAAACAGTGAGGATAAAGAACAAGCTCACATATCCCACCAACTTTTATTACCTGATCCCCATGGGGAGGCCCATCAGAGAGTGCCTATGACCTGTTACAATGAACTCTAAAAACACTTCCCTACTCTTTCAAGTCTCCCTGTGAGCATTGGTTACATTTCCAGTGTCCCATTCTTATAGTTTAACTCATGAAAGAGGGCGGGATCTTCCTTCTGCCAATACTAGTTCTTTCTCCTCAATGAAAAGTTAGACACAAACTCTAAAATAAAGGCAACTCCCAGAATACAACACAGCCCCAGTTAAATTAAAAAGCCTTTTATCCAAGAGACAGGCAATAACAAATGCTGACAAGGATGTGGAGACAAGGGAACCCTTGTACACTGTTGGTGGGACTATAAGTTAGTACAACCACTGTGGAGAATGGTTTGAAGGTTCCTCACAAAACTAAAAATAGAGCTACCATATGATTCACAATCTCACTGCTCGGTGTACACCTAAAAGAAAAGAAATCAGTATATTGAAGAGATATCTGTATTCTCATGTTTATTACAGCACTGTTCACAATATCCAAGGTTGGAAGCAACCTAAGTGTCTATCACAGATGAGTGAATAAAGAAAATGTGTTACATATACACAATGGAGTACTATTCAACTAAAAAAGAATTAGATCCTGTCATTTGCAACGATGTGGATGGAACTGAAGATCATTATGTTAAGTGAAATAAGCCAGGTACAGACAGACAAACTTCACACGTTCTCACTTGTGGGAGGTAAAAAGTAAAACAATTGAACTTGTGGACAGAGAGTAGAAGGATGGTTACCAGAGGCTGAAGGGTAGTGGGGGTTGGGGAAGAAGTGGGGATGGTTAATGGGTACAAAAAAATAGAAAGAATGAATAAGAACTAGTATTTGATAACACGACAGTGTGACTATAGTCAATAATAATTTAATTGCACATTTAAAAATAACTGAAAGTATAATTGCATTGTTTGTAACACAAAGGATAAATGTTTGAGGTGATGGATACCCCGTTTACCCTGTGTGATTATTACACATTGCATGCCTCTATCAACATATCTCATATACCCCATACATCTATATATATATATATACTGACTATGTACACACAGACATTAAAAATTAGGAGAAAACAAACACAACAAGGAGACTGAGCTGGAAGGATGGAGCTCTGGGATAGATTTGTCCTACATCCCTGCCTGGGAAGGAATCCACACACATGTGAGAAGACAAACTAGGAGCATGGGACACTAAATTATACCACATTGCACTCATTGGGGTCACAGGGTTTCTTCCAAGTGACCCGCACTTGCCCATCCCATCTCTCTGTGACAGTGGCACCCGCACCAGACTACATGTTGAGGTGTTATCTGAAATTATGAAATAAAACAGAAGTAAGAGGTCTATGAGCTCATCAAAATGCAGTCATCTAAGTTCAGCTGTGAACTGCCAAATTTGAGGAGTGATCTGACAAAACATCTTTTCTTTGCAATTCAAGAAGACTTACCGGAGAGAACTGCTCAGATAATCTGCAACATCCGGTTCCTGGAGGCAGCTAAGGAATGAAGCAGGAGTGCATGTTTCTGCCCAAAGCCGGGGTTTGGCCGAGGTGACTACACATCCCCTTTCCTGGCTCCCATAGGCTGAGTGCCTGGCTTCTTGAGAAGCCTGCTTCTTGAGAAGAAAAAAGTGATTTAAAGCCTCATGGGAGATGAGCAATCCTCAAGACACAAGCAGAAAAAGTCCCGGTGATACAGGAAGCGAGTTCAGGAACCTGCTGGTTCCTGATACATAAATTAGACAGCAGAGGCAGCACTGCATGACACGAAGCTCGCTCTGCCTAGCGTCTGTGAGCAGCTGCCAGGCTCTGACCAGGACCCCTTCCTTCTCCTCACTGGCTGATGGATCCCAAGGGGCTCCTCTCCTTGACCTTTGTGCTATTTCTCTCCCTGGCTTTTGGGGCAAGCTATGGAACAGGTGAGTGTTCATCTGCCTGATGGTTTGAGTCCCACGTTAGCTGCCTGGAATCAGCGTATCTTCGTGGATGGAGAGAAGGTGCAGGGCTGGGGATTGTGTTTGGTCACTCTTCCTTACGGACTGGCTGTCAGTTTCAACTGCCTCTTTCAAAGAGGAAGGAACATTATGAGTTCCTGGGCCCTTGGGTTTCCAAGACTCAAGCCCACCAACCCCTTTTCCAAGGAAATGAGGAGCTCTAAGCCAAAGGCTCCAGTCACTTCTCTGACCAGTCTTAGGGTGACAGGCTCTGGTAGAAGTCCTGGTTGAGTGGTTGGTTTTACATGGGCATTTTTCTGGCAAAGATCCAGCCTAGAGAGACTGAGCTGGATGGAGTGAGCTCTGGGAGATGATTTGCCCTACATCCCTGCCCTAGGAGGGAATCTGTGCCCATGCAGGCTGACAAACCAGGAGCATGGGTCAACAGAAAGCATTGGCTAGAATGGGAAGAGAGAGTAGAAGTGAAAACTCCAGGCTTTTGGCTAATAACCAGCAGTGACCACAGTGCGGTCATACTGGTGTGTATTTTCTTGGAAGAGAAGGTCCAAGAAAGCAAGAGGGAAGAAGTTGGGATTTCTGGAGCCTAGGGCTGGTTACAGTATGTGGGAAATGCAAATTGGGGACCCTCAGAGAGTAGCTCCAGCAGGAAGGCCAGACAAGGGCTACCTTTGGATCTGGACTCTGTTCCTGTCTTTCTGGATATCTTCTTCCCAAGGCAGGCTCTTGCTTTCTGTTTAGAAATATCAGGGCTATGAGAAAAGGTATTTGAGAAAGAAAAAGGCAAGCAAGAAGTGGACTTTGGACTGCCTGTGTGAGTGGGGTGAGAATCTCTTTCTGCTTATTTATTTAGACTGTGGGAGGTAGCCTGGAGTAGAAGAGGTGGCATTACGGACACGGGGGGAAATCCTGAGGCCCAGGGTGTTTTAAGCTTGGGGTTTTCAAGACCGCAAATCCAATATGGACTTTTCCAGGAAAAGCACCGAGATATACCAGGGATGTGGGGGTGCTGCACAATGGATGTGTCTTTTACCAGACAGCCAGATGAACAGGGCTTGCTCAGCCACTTCCTTTTGGAATCTGCAGACCCATGGGTCATACTTCCCAAGGTCTAGGAGAGACAGAACTGAGCTCAGGGCTCAGAAAACCAAACTGAACCACTTTAAGTGGTCACAGGGAAAGCCACGCTTCCCTCGTTGCAACCAATTTGTGACTGCACCATTTTTGGAGCACTTCTTGGTGACTGTAAGGAGTGATGGTGCTGAACTGTGAGCTGGACTTTTCCATCTCCGTGCTTGCTAGCCTCTTGGCCAGCCTGGTTGGACTTTTCCATCTCTGTGCTTGCTAGCCTCTTGGCCAGCCTGGCCCATAGCATCTTAGGCACTGCTGACCAATAGCTGGTCCTATTGAGGCTTTGGAAGTCACCGGTCAGGGAGAAGCAGCCCAGCCCCACAAGGCAAGTCTATCCAGTCGGAGGCTGCTCACTTCATTGCATGTTTTCTTCTTTGAATCTTCACAAAAGCTTTTCAGTGTTTTTATTTTTAAATACACACCCTTTTGTGAAGCCCCAATAAAACCCAGGCAGAAATGCTTTGCAAATGCGGCAGGTTAGTCATGACAGATTTGCCCAAGCAAGAAGCTTGATACTTGTAAAACTGGCACCCACTCCCATTCTCATTTCTACTCAGCTCAACTTCTAATTCCCAGTCAGAATTGTAAAAATCAAAAAGTCCACATGTCCCTTCCCCAAGTAAAGTGAATTTTTCATTTCCCCCAATGAGATTTGTTTTAATAGACTTTATTTTTTAGAGCAGTTTTAGGTTCACAGCAAAGTTGGACAGAAAGAACAGAGATTTCCCATATACCCTCTGCCCCATATATGCATAGCCTCCCCTGTTATCAATATCCCCCACCAGGGTGGTACATTTGTTATAATTGATGACTTTACCTCAGTGAGTTTTTTTATTCCTCCATGCAGGTCCTCCGCACCCCCTTCACACACTTTGGGGGAAGGTGAGGGACAAGTGCGTGGGTTCTAGACTTGGCCTAACCTTGTATGTTCAGTGGCCCATTCTATCCCAAGATGTCAATCTAGGCACTTCTATTTCTCAAAAATGTTAATACTGTGATGTCATGTGATGCTGTCACTTTCATTGTCTCCCTCACTGGACTGGAAATCAGAGTATCAGGGCTAATTGTTTTTATCCATAGATTGACTTTGAATGATCCCATTCAGCAGCTATTAAGGACAAATGATGTGGCTGCCACATCATTTGTCAAGGGTGCAAGGGTGCAAGGTGTGGGGAAAACAAAATGAACAACAGCCACTGTGCAGCACCTGATACTGTTTCTGTACTGAAAGCCTGTACACAAATGTTTGTTGAGTGAATAATATTAGTATATACTGCATACTCGCTTTATACCAGGCACTGTTCTAAATGCTTTATGTGTGTCAGTCATTTCATTTTCACACCAAGCCTATAAGATATGTATGTATTATTGGTACCATTAAAACTTTATAAATGGGGAAAGGGGCACAGAGTAGTTTAGCAATTTCTCTGTGCTCACATAGCCATCTGACTCCAGAGGCCTCAATGAGTGAAACTGGACAAGCCCATGTTTGGGAAGCAGGGGTGGGGAGAATGCCACAATTTGTATCCAGATTCCATGGTAAAAATTAGAATGTGCTATCTATAATTGAAAAATATGAGTGGAATTGAATTGAGATAAATTGAAGTATAGAAATGTTCAAAAGGTGAGAGACTGATAAAAATTATAGAAGAATGTAGAGGGCATATAAGAAGTATTTGACCTGTAATTTGGAAAATGAAAACGTTTTTTCATCATGCAAACATTCATTTAATTTTTTTTGTTAACCAGTTTGTTCATTGATTATCACATCTGTAAAACATGCCATGTCTATGAAACTTCACCAGTACACAAGAGTATTTAGTGAAGACTAATCTGCCCTCCATACCTCATGCTGGAGGCAACCACTGTGACCAGTTTCTTGTGTGTCTTTCCAAATGTATAGGTCTTCGTGTTTGATAGATCAGTAGGGTGACTATAGTTAACAATAATCTATTGTACATATCAAAATAGCTGGAAGAGAATAATTCAAATGTTCTTAGCATAAAGGAAAGAGAAATACTCAAGGTGATACATATCCCAATTACCCCGATTTGATCTTTACACAACATGTGAATGTATCAGATAGTGCTATGTGCCCTGAAAATATGTACATCTATTATGTATCAATTTTTTAACATGGCAGAGAAGAAATCAGAGACTTAAGGATAAAGAGGGTGGGGAAATAAAACTTTTCTGGACTTTTCAGTGTCCTGGTGAAGAACACTAGCTTCCTGACACTTTTTTCATACCATGAGAATTAAATCTGTAGTCATTTGTATAGGTAATTGCTCTGATCCAAATGAATAATAAAACTTTTCCCGAGAGGACCAAATGGTTACAGCCTGAACAAGGTCCCTAGGTAGAGCACCCAAGGTGCCGTGAAGCCTGGAGTCGCTATCTTCCTAAGCAGGCCAGCACAAGCTTGTGCCTTCATTTTGCAACATGCAAGAAGGAATGAGCCCCAGAATTTGAGACAAGTCCCAGGACTTGCCATAAAAGCCAAGACATGTAAGGGACTATCTGGCTCCTGGAGAGATTTATTTACCTATCAAAGTGTTGGAATAAGGAGCAGACCTTTAAGAAGGGCAGGGAGGATTGCTGCCTCCTTCCCCTTTTATAGGTAGAGAAAATAATTTGTCCGTATTTCTTACCTATGGAGCGTCTGGTTACTCACATAAAACAATTGACCTTGCTCTTATCACATCATCCTACGGGGAAGCGGGGGCCAAAGAATTTACTATTTACTGTGAGTCATTTAATAAGAAATTTGAATCTAATCCAGACTATCTCATGTGCACATTTGGGATAAAGTTAATAAAAATGAATATTAAAAACTTAGCCCCAAATAAATAGGTCTGATGGGTTTGATTTTTATGGAACTTGAGAAGGAGTATTCCAGGAGGAGGCACAAATGCAGAGGTAAAGGGTTTCAAGTGTTCAGGGGAAATGGCAAGTTGTCTGTTGTACCTGAAACCTAGGGTTTATATTTAAGGCACTTCCATGTCCTCAGCTGGCAAGTGGGGAAAAGGGTCCCCACCACTTTCCTCCATAACATACCTCTTAGGGATGTTATAAAGGCAAATCAGAGTACATTCCAATTTTGGTAGGAGGAGAACTTGGACTCTGTGTTGTCATTTGCTCATTCGTTCATTCATCCATTCCTTTTTATTAATTCACTTGGGTAACAAGGATTTACTGAGCTCCTACTATGTCCCAGGGGGGGTGTTAGGGATACTGCAGTGAATAAAACAGACACAGTCCGTACTCTTGGAAGCTTATAAGAGTAAGGGATTACAGGCATTGAACCAGAATTGAACACATGATGAATGATATGAAGGAGTGCATTCGTCGTCCATTGGAAGCCTGTGGCTGGACAACCCAACCTAAGTCAGGAGTCAGGAAAGTCTTCCCTACGAAAGACATGTCAAAATGGAGACCAGAAAGATGGAAGTTGTTAGCTAGGCAAATAAAGAGTGGTTCTAGGCTCTAAGGCTAGGGAAGGTACATGCTAATAGTATAAGATAGAATGACCCAGAAGTGCCAAAGAACAAAAATAGGACTTTGACTGATGGGGATACAGTTTAAAAAGCAAACACAGACAAGTTGTCTTTTTTTTCTGAGCCTAAATTTACCAAAACAACTGTAGAGTCCATAAGTTCTGTTCCTTCTGTTCCTGAAAGAATGCTGTAGCAAGGTGCTAAAAGCACATATGAAAGTATCAGGGCTAGGCAAAAAAACATGATACAATAAAACAAAAAGGGTTATCATTAGGTAGAAGCCCATGTTGTGAGAGGGTTGGCTAAATCATACTATTAATAATTTTTGACCAAACTCCATAGGCCCATGTGAATCACTCATTTTTCGAAGTAGAATTGCCCGTGAAGGAAACTGAGTTGGTGTTAACAGCTACAAATGTTTCCTCCCAGACTCTTTTAGCAAACAAGGGCTGGCTGAATCACAGACACACTGGAAAACACTCATCAGGCAGCAGGATGTTTCAGGAGCAGGGACGCCACTTGAGGGGTTTTACGAACCACTTTAAAGCCCCCACTTATTTTTCCACCTTATGCTTAGGTGAGGGTGATCTCAAGTACCCCCTCCAGACCCCGACACACACACACTCAGGTGTTGCGTCATCATTCTTTATGTGGGTTGTGGGGTATAAGGGTCTCTTCCTGATGAAGTTTTGGTTCCACTCCTCATGACTGAGTGTGCATAAGCCACTCAGTCTCTCTCATCTACCCCTTCCCCTTTCCTCTTCCTCTTTCTCCATTTTCTTTCTTTGATGTTTTTCTTTGATTTCTTTTATTTTTTTGGTTATTCACTACCTCTCTTATATCCCTCTTTCTCCTCCCCCAACCAACTCCAAGTTCTGAAAGCAATCATGGTGCAAAGGGTGTGCAGGGTTAGGGGGGAAGGGGTGCATGGGAGCCATTTTAGGGAGTGGTGGCGATGGGTTATGGTCTGAAAATGGAATTTTTTAATTCTTTTTTTCTCCCCTATCAAAGTTGGTCTTTAAAAATCAACACTATGCTAGCAATTCTTAATCTTGTTTTGAATCTCAGATCCCTTTAAGAGATGGCATTTATGGATGAGCTCCCAGAAAAATATACATATGCTCATCTACACAACTTTTTATACAGAAGTTTGGAAGTTCATTCTTGCACATATGGCTGTAAATTTTTTCCCATTTCTTTATACTTAGAAGTTTAGGTTCAGGACTCAAGTTACTCTCTTAAGTACTGTGCCTACAATTCAGGTATGCGGCCACCAACGGGGTCACATGATCTAGACAGTCAGGCATCCACAAGTGTGGTTGAAAGAAAATCCAACATGCTTCCCAGTTTATTGATGTAAAAACAACCACCACCACATTAACTATAATGTTCCTCATGTCATCAAGCAGCAGGGGAGAGCACTCTGTTTTAAGCTTAATATATTAGCAATATTTTAAAAAACAAGTGCCTAATTGCCTTTCTCACTTTTCCTCAACAATTATGAATTTCAATCACTCTAATCCAGATTTTAGCCCAGATAGACTACTTTTTCTTCTTCCCCAGTCATTGAATCTCCAGTCTACTACTAGCTGAGCCCTTTACTGAAAGACATTGGGATTTCAGGGTATTTTGGTAACAAGAATATTTGAGCCAGTGTGTCCAATTTTCCAGTATCTCATCTTAGCCACAAGTCAGTTGTGAAAGAGTCTCTTCTAGGTAGCTGCATTACTTAAGCTGATGGTTCTATTTTACTCTCTGACTTTCTTATCAGCTAGAACAATCTATGCTCTCTTTGAGTCATGGACTCCTTCTTTTATGAACACTAACTTATGGTTAAGTTCAGATATATATATATATCTGAACTTATAAACTTATATGTATCTGAACCTAAATAAGAGGCTTTGGTCAGGTAATACGGTTTTCAGCATTCATAAATTGAACAGATATTTATTAAATGCCTCCTATGTGCTAAGCGCATAGTACCTCTTTGTAGGTCCTGGGGTCAAAATAATGAACAAAATGAAGTTCTTCCTCTTGAGGCTTTTGCATTTTAGTGGGAGAGACAAAAATAAAACAAAAAAATATATATACAGTATAATATAAGGCAGTGATAAGTGCAGAAAGAAACAGAAAGTTATTTTAGATACATGGTCAGAGGAGGCCTCTTGGAGGAGATACTGTTTGGAGCAGATACCTAAAATAAAGTGAAAGAATGAGCTATCCAGGTATGGAAGGGAAGAAATTCTCCAGCGAGAGGAACAGCAAAAGCAAAAGTTCTGACACAGGAATGTTCTTGGTGGGTTTAAGAAGCAGCCAGGAGCCAGTGTGACTGTAGCACAGTGAGCAAAGAGGAGGGCAGGAAATGGAGTTGGAACAGTGCCAGGGACTGGGTATGCAGGGCCTTTGAAGCCTTATCAATAGTGGACTATGGTTTTATTCTATCAGTGCTGGAAAGCCATAGAAATTTAAAAGCAGGAGAGAGACAAAATAGGACATGGTTTTTAAAAATTACTCTATCAGGGAGATCAGCTGGAAGAAGACGGCAGTACCAGGCCTGGGATGATGGTGGTGGAAATGCAGGAGGTGCGAAGGGTTCAGATACCAGACATATTTTGAAGTCAGAGCCAGGAGGATTTGCTGTTAAAATGAGTGTGGAGTATGGCTGGGCACAGTGGCTCATGCCTGTAATACCAGCACTTTGGGAGACGGAGGCGGGCAGATCACTTGAGGTCAGGAGTTCGAAGTCAGCCTGGCCAACATGGTGAAACCCCATCTCTACTAAAAATATAAAAAATTAGCCAGGCGTGGTGGCAGGCGCCTGTAATCCCAGCTACGCAGGAGGCTGAGGCAAGAGACTTGCTTGAGCCTGGGAGGCAGAGGTTGCAGTGAGCCAAGATTGCAACATTGTACTCCAGCCTGGGTGACAAAGCAAGACTCGGACTCAAAGAAAAAAAAAAATTGAGTTTGGAGTATGCAAGAACGAAAGGAGTCAAGGATGTTTCCAATGTTTTGGCCTGAGAAATTGGCTGAATTATAATGTTTGCAGAAGGTGTTTTGGAACCAAGAGTTTGTTTGCTAAGTTTGAAATGCCCTTTAGACCTCCAAGTCCTATCTTGTGTAGGCAGTTGGGAGTGCAGTGAAGGGTTTGGTTGGGAGATATAACTCTGTAGCATCCCAGAAATATGTCAGACTGTGCAGTTGGGTGAGAAACTGGATTGGTGTGGATGAGAATGAGAACTCTGAGAACTGGGATGCTCCAGTATTTAGAGGTCCGGAAGAACAGAAGGCTCCTGCCAAGAAGACTGAGCAGAGGCAGCTTATAGGATAGGTGAAAAACCGGGAGAGTATGGTGTTCCCTGATCCAAATGATGACAGCGTTTCAAGGAGGGATGGATGAACTATGTCAAGTACCCCTGAGAAAGCAGGTAAGATAGGAACTTTGACTTGGCTTCGTGGAGTAGACAGTGACCTTGACAAAGGTGGGTCCAGCGAGCAGTAGGAAAGAACACCTGTTTATAGTGGGTCCAAGGGAAAATGGGTCTGGAAATGGGAAAATAAGCTATAAACACACATTAAAGCACTTTACTGAAAAGGAAAACAGAAATGGAGAGGTAGCTGGGGATGGACCTGGGATCAGGGGAGATATTTTTAATATAAAGGAAACTACAAGTTTATATGTTGTGTATTGATGGAAATAACCTAGTAAAAAAAAAACCTGATAATGTGAGGGATGGAGGCAATTGCCGAAACAAAGCTTTGAAGTAGGTGAGTGCTCCATGGGGGAAGAGGCTCCACTTGCGTGGGAATGTAGACCATCCATCCAAGTAGGTAAGTTGAGTTAGTGGTGGTAATAAATGGAAGTTCTCTTTTCGTTTCTTCATTTTATTTTTCGGTGAAACAAAAAGCAAAGTCGTCACATGAGAGAGGAGGGGGAAAGGCAGGTTGTGGGTTTGAGGAGAGAGGAGGTGTGAAATAATCAGCAGTAGGATCCCTTATAGTGGTTTGAAAGGCTCTTTTTTTTTTTTTTTTTTTAAATCTTGTTGGCTCAGCTTTTTTGAAAGAGAAAAATACAGTAATATCTCACTGTCGACATTATTAACTAGCTCAGGGTGTTTTAGAGAGAGAGAATTCCACAGTTTGAACACTGGGCTTACCCTTTCTTGACTCCACATTCCTCAGATTTTTCTGTTTTCCTCATGATCTGAAATGGTTCCTGGGCTCATGAGCTCAGATTCACTTTCCTTTGCTCTCCGTCCTTCATCCTGTATATTCAATGGTGGAATAAAACCCTGGTAGAGGAATTAACAGACCTGAATTCTAGTCCTGACTCCCACTGACTAGTCAGGGAAGCCATTTAACTTCTCTGTGCTTTTTAGATGCCTGAACCTTAAATCTGAGTTGATAAAGACCCAGTGCTCTAGTTACTCTATACAACTCTATCCTAAGTAATTTTAAGCTGTCTACTGACAGTTTTGAAATATTGAGAATATAGTAGGGATCCTCATGGCAGTCTTCAAAGACCATGAAGGACTTGGCAGCCCCAGGGATAGCCCAAGAGGAAGGGGGAGAGCCTCCAGTCTGTCCTTCCTGTTCTGCTGACACGATGTTATCTAAAGGCCTTAATAATAAGGGACTCTCTTCTCCTCCCTCCCACAGGTGGGCGCATGATGAACTGCCCAAAGATCCTCCGGCAGTTGGGAAGCAAAGTGCTGCTGCCCCTGACACATGAAAGGATAAATAAGAGCATGAACAAAAGCATCCACATTGTCGTCACAATGGCAAAATCACTGGAGAACAGTGTCGAGAACAAAATAGTGTCTCTTGATCCATCCGAAGCAGGCCCTCCACGTTACCTAGGAGATCGCTACAAGTTTTATCTGGAGAATCTCACCCTGGGGATCCGGGAAAGCAGGAAGGAAGATGAGGGATGGTACCTTATGACCCTGGAGAAAAACGTTTCAGTTCAGCGCTTTTGCCTGCAGTTGAGGCTTTATGGTAATAATGGCGGCTTCCCCAGTCCACACTAAAGGGCCAAGGTGCTCCTTTGACCAAGAATTCAGGTCTCTCTTAAAAGCAAAGGTATTCAGAGTTGGAAGTAACTATAATGATCTTCTAGTTTGACGGTATTTAAACCTGCTGCATGGAAGACGTTTTAAAGGTTGAAATTGTTTTTTTTTTTTCCAAATTGCACATTGATGATAGCTGATTAAGCATTAGTTACTCTTACTCCCATTTCCCAAAGGAAAGGGGCCCAGCTACCTGTGGGCTGGAGGGCCTATAGCCCCAAGAATCTTGATTTGCAAGTAATATTTTATTTGAAAACAGAATTTTTTTTCTGATTAAAAGAAATTGAATATCACAGATCAAACCCAGTCTCTCATACGTGAAGACAGTGAAATCTAACTAGAAGTGGTTAGCCCATTTACACACATTTGTGTAGGTGTTTCACTGCAATGGGGGTTCTGAATAAAGAAGGCTAAAATTCAGCCCACATACCACTTGTTAAGCCCTACATTCTGGCACCAGATCACACCTACCTGGTGGAAGAAGTGCCTTTTGGCATTTAAACAAAGGCTTTGGTTATAAAGTCTCTTAGTTGCTGTACTTAAACTAGGAACCAAGTCCACCTGAATCCAAGGCCAGTGCTTTTTTGAGCCTCTTTAACTACCAGTCCCTCTTGAGTGCACCCAGGGATTGCATCTCTTAGGCCCAGAGGCTCATCTGAATTCCCAGGGATCCTGATAGCCATGTGAGGCTTTCCTGCTTCTTCAAAATGACTTCCTTATCTCTGGGGATGGGACAGGAATTCCCAGCTAACCAACATTTCTTTGAAATTCTCAAATTTCTAGAGGGAAGGCAGCAATACTTTCACCAGTCCTCCCTCGCCCCAGCATTCCCTTTCCTTCAAACAGTGCCTGCGGAATTCCCATGGCCCTCCCCCAGGTACCTGAGAGTCACTTCCAGCAGTGACTCCAGGGCAAGACTGCCATGAGCATGGAGGCTGCACAGGATGCATTTTCCAAAGCGGTGTGGATTCCAGACATTCCATCCTTTGGTTCCTATGTTACCTGTTTTTGTCACAGTTTGTGATCAAATTCTTACTTTGGAAAATGTGGTCTCTGCAACCATGGCATTGTTTTCAAGCCAAAGGAAGAGTTTGGATTTTGAAGTCAGATAGACCTAGGTTCAGATCTTAACTTGGCCACTTAGAAGCTGTGAGATGTAAGACATTCCACCTCCCTGGGACTTGGCTTTCTCATCTATAAAATGGGAATAATTACAACTAGAGTTATAATTGTTGAGAAGACTAAAAAAGATGATGAATGTGAAACACCAGCACTGCTCTTGTCCTATAATAATAGTTGCTAAATAAGCAAGAGTTTACCTTTCATCTGGCCTATTTCATGGCCTTAGAGTGGGATAGATTGATGAGGCCTATGGTTATACTTGAGGACCTATCCCTATCTCAGACACACAAAAGCACTTACTACACACCCACTCACTCACCCATGCGCATGTGTGTGTGCGCGCGCACACACACACACACACACCCTCCCACACACATCTGTATAGATGAAATCTCACCGCTAAAAAGTCATTCTTTTAGGTCTAGGAAGTAACAACGTAAGTCAACTAAAAACTATGGTGGCTTAGTTGACAGCAAACTCCATTGATAGGAGACAGGAGAATAGCAACCTAGGTCAAGAACAGCAGGAAGGGTGAGTGAAGCCCTAACAATATTGGTAGAAAGGGCCTAAAAAGCAGATTCTTATTTTATCCCAAGGTGGTCTTAGAAAGGATGTAGTGGTGCATGATGGACAGTGTAAAGCAATAGATTTCCCACTAGAAATAAATCACACTGAGGGGGAGGGAAAATGCCATTAGGCTGTACTTTGTTCTAACAAAAAGGTCAAGTGAGAATTCCCAGGGGTTCATTTCAGTGATGGCTGCCTTCCTCCCACTCCTGACAGAGCAGGTCTCCACTCCAGAAATTAAAGTGTTAAACAAGACCCAGGAGAACGGGACCTGCACCTTGATACTGGGCTGCACAGTGGAGAAGGGGGACCATGTGGCTTACAGCTGGAGTGAAAAGGCGGGCACCCACCCACTGCACCCAGCCAACAGCTCCCACCTCCTGTCCCTCACCCTCGGCCCCCAGCATGCTGACAATATCTATATCTGCACTGTGAGCAACGCCATCAGCAACAATTCCCAGACCTTCAGCCCGTGGCCCAGATGCAGGACAGACCACTCAGGTGAGTACACTGGTGGCAGCCTGTGTGCCACCTGACCCAATTGCTCCCCAGTCATGGCATTCACCTTAGTAACAATTTTCTTTATAGTTTGCAAAAGTTTACCATGTGCATTTAGTGAGCTCACTCTCATATTGACTAGGGTGGCATTATTATGCTCATTTCACAGTTGATGAAACCAACAGGAGGTGATAGAGCCAGAGCCAGAGCCTAAGTCTCCAAGGCGTAGCCTTCTCTGCCTCTTGCTTTGGCTCCAACCTGCAAGGTTGGCTGGGTGAGGGAGTGCAGGTGGGCGGGCCTGGCTCCCAAGTCTATGTTCCACTAATGCTGGGGCAGCTCTACACCATCAATTAGTATTTATTGATCACCTACCTGGTTAGAAATTGTGAATAAATATGATATGTGATCTCTCCTCTCTAACAATTCATTGTAAAGATAAGATGTAAAACATGTGCTTAATAATGAAACACAGGATATAGTTAAGGACCTCGTTTTATGGAATAGACTGTGAATCCCATAGCAGGACCAGGGGAGTCAGAAAGAGAGACTAAGACCTGGACTGTGAAGTTTGAAGAATAATAAGTTGCATAGTGCTTCATCATTAGCAAAACACTCTCAACTGTATAATCTCTTTTGATCCTCACAATAACCTTGCCAGATAGGTGTTATTCTACTTTCATTTTACAGATAAGGAAAGTGACATTCATAGCATTTAAGTACCCTCCTCAAGTTTCTTTGGCTTGTAAATAGTGCAGTTAACCCCTAAACCTACATCTTCTGACTGTTCTTCCTCTAGAAAGAAAAGCATCATTATTCTGTCAGCAAAAGGAAGACAGAACTTATTAAGTAAGCCCATTTAACCACTTGGATACAGAATAGAACACAGGCCCTTTTTACTAACAGATCTTGTGTCCCTGCCTCAGGCAGGTTCAGGGACAGTAAGACCAGGGTGCTTGCTCTGCAAGGCATTTCTTAAACCCTGACATTCTCCTCTCTGCATCCACTGGGGGGTACATAGGAATCGTTCCAACGGGTCTTCTGTCTACAGTAGCCATGGCGTCCATGTGGAGGGCTTTCCCAGGTGGTCGTGGTTGAGGGACAGGGGAATTCAGCCAAGTAATGCCCTTCCACATAGCACTGCCTGTCACAGAGACTCCCCCGGAGTATTCCCAGATGGACTGCTGGGAAAATCCCACCTGGCCTCCAGTGTGCCCCTGGGAGTTCTTGAATGAGTCTAACCCCCTGCATGTTTCCTCCCCAGACATTTCATAGCCAGAGTCCCCCGTCTGCTCACTTACTGGCTATGTCTGGCTGCTTGCCCACCTTGCATACAAACCACATTCAGAGGCTACCCCCCAGTTCAGAGCGCTCAGCCTACCCATAGTCATTTAGAAGGTGCTGGCAGGACAAGCAAGCAGTGCAGCATAGTGGGTGACTTACAGAATGTGGGCCTGGAAGTCCTAGGGCTAATGCTGCCCTTTCTACTTACAAGATCAAGTCCCTCTGCCCTTCTGAGATTTAGATTCTTCATCTCTAAATAACAACAACTGGTGGGTCTATGTTTACTATGTGCCAGTTACGTGGCATTTCAGTTAATCCTCACAGCAACAAAATAATATAGATAGTATTAGTATCCCCATTTCACAGATGAGGAAACAAAGCTATAACATGGTTAAGTAAGGTCACACACAGAGCAAGTGATGGAGCTAGACTTTCCGATTCTGGAAGCCTCATAGGCATTAGTGAAAGAGATAATGCACTTAAAATGCCTTATAAACCATAATGAAATGTAATTTTTATTTTAAAAACTACATAAATATAAAGTATTTTTTAATGTTAAATGAGGAAGCAGCAACCCTTACCTCAGCACAGCCATCTGTGGGTATAGCTGCCCTATTAGAGTACAAAGACAGGGCACTGAGTATTTTACCCTGGCCTATCCCAAAAAAGGGGCAGAACTTTCTTCATGCTCCTCAATGTAGTTTAAAAAGAATTTATTAGTGCATACCAAAGTGTTGGTGGACCATAAAGCTTACACTAAGGGCACTCAACTCAGAACGTTCTAAGAAAACATGTGAAGATGGACTTACCCATCTAAGCCACTCTGAGGACCAAGAATGCACCAGCAGGAACCAGATTTACTGAGTAGGAAGCAGGTTCTTGTCAGGAGTGGAGGGACAGGAAGCAGTAGAAACCTGGCACCATAGGAAGGGCCCTGTCAGGATCTTGGCTCAGTTTGTAAGAGAACTATCTAGCCGTTTCCCTCTCTTGGGTCTCCACAGTAAAATGAAAAGGGCGAACAAGTGAAGTCCCTCCCAGAGTCAACAGTCCTTGATTCAGTGTGTGTGTCAATAAGAACTGCAAATAGAGGCTTGCCACTGTGTATGAGTTTGCTAAGGCTGCTGTAACAAAGGACCACACACTGAGTGACTTAAACAATCAAAATGTGTTGGCTCTCAGTTCTGGAGGCTAGAAATCTAAAGTCAAGGTGTCAGCAGGATTGTTTTTCTCTGAGGGCTGTGAGAGAAAGATCTCTCCCAGGCCCCTCTCCCTCCCTGGCTTGTAAATGACTGTCTTCCCTTGTCTTTTCATATCATCTTCCCTCTATGTGTATTTCTGTGTCCAAATTTTCTCTTCTTATAAGGACACCAGTCATACTGGATTAGGGCCCACCTCTCTCAGTTTGCTAGGGCTGCCATAATAAAGTACAACAGATTGGGTGGTTTAAATAACAGAAATTTATTTTTCTCCCAGTTTTGGAGGCTGGAAGTTTGAGGTCAAGGTGTTGGTAGGTTTGGGGTCTTCTGAGGCCTCTCTCCTAAGCTTGCGTATGGCTACCTTCTCACTGTGTCCTCACCTGGTCTTTCCTTTGTGTGCTCACACCCCGGTCTCTCTCTCTTTTTCCTGGTGTCTGTGTGTCTAGATTTCCTCTTCTTATAAGGACGCCAGTCAGGTTAGATTAGGGACCACCCTAATGACCTCATTTTAACTTAATAACCTTTAAAGACCCTGCCTCTGAGGTCTTTGGCGTTAGAGCTTCAACATAGAAATTTGGGGGAGGGGAGATGCAATTCAACCCATAACATCACCCTAATGACCTCAGTTTTACTCAGTTAACTCTGTGAAGACCCTATGTCCAAATAAGGCCGTAGTTTAAGGAAATCAACATATGAATTTGGGGAAACACAATTCAACATGTAATACAAGTAGAGATGCCTCCTCCCCGCCCTGCCAGCCTGCAGGGATAGGTGACCAGACCTTCCCTGCCTCAGAACCAGATCACACAGCTGGTTTGTGGCCTGCCCTTCGCAGTATACCAGGTTGCCTAAATACTGAAAACAGAATTTTATTAGTACGTTGATTTGTGTTTGCAAATGAATAATGCATACTACCAATTCTTAAAACACTGCACTTAGTTTGACAAAACATTTACTGAAGCTCTACTATATTCCAGCATTGTGCTAGGGGCCAAGTACACAAAGATAAAAAAGACATGATCCTTTATTAACACTGTCTCGGGGGATTAGAGAGAGCATCCCAGAGGATGTGACATAAACTAGGTTTTAAAAATAAGTAGAAATTACCCAAGCTGATGAAAGACATTCCAGGCAGAGGCAGGAGCAGATACAGCTGGGTCTTGCTCTGTATTATCTTGTAGGTGATAGGAACTAATAAAGAGTTTTAGATAGAGGAGTGACACCATCAGACTTGCCTTTCAAAGAGAAACTCCAGTAGTATTGAGAACAGACGAGGGCAGGGAAGAAGGGGAAGAAAGAGAAACTAGTTCCTGGGGGCCATTATTGCAGTCATCCATCAAAATGATGAGACCCGAGCCAAAGCAGCAACTGTCAGTTAACAAAGACTTTTTTCCTAGGGCATACAAAGGGAAACCCCAGTCTTGGGATGAAAGGGTGGGGTCTGAGGGTTTATTAGAGGTTGCTTCGCCATCTGTCAACAGGACAGTGATATTAAGACATTTTTCATTTTCATTAATGAAAATCTCACAGCGGTTAATGATGTGATGAGACGGAATGCAATGTGATGTGAGCACTGTCTCTTGACAGGACTCACTTAAGTGAAACCATGCAAAAAGTTGTATGTTCCATGAAATCTTTTTCTTTAAGTGACATTTGTTCAGGTCATGCATTCATCCTTGTTCCAATTGCCATTCCAGTGTTTTAATGTCTATCATGATGAAGCATCTTTATTGCAAAGTCCAAATCCTAGGGTGCTCTGAAGTACTCTGGCTAGGTCATGTGAAGCCAGTGGATGTGGGTCAGCTCTGGACAGTGTGTGACTTGCTGCCGTCCTCAATGACTGTATTCTGAAATAGATATGGCTGTGCTAGAATGAAGGAATCTAAAAAGGAATGCCCCTGGAAGCTCATCTTGAAGAGAGGATCTTTTTCAGTAGATCAGCAAAACGCTGGCTCAGCACGTCTGAGTTAGCTCAGTAAAAGAAAAGGCTGACGCCTGCCAGTGAGCTCGGAGGCTTCCCCTTTCTAACAAGGTCATTTCTTCAAATAGGGAGTTCCCATTGTTTCCGAGTCACTTAGATGTTCCAAGCACAAAGACAGGTCTCTCTCTAGGGTCTTCCCAATTTAGCGAGCGTAGCAACAATGGTGGAAAGAAAAAACCGGAAAACTTCACACAGCCCAGAGCCTGGTAACGGGGCCACACCCGCTACAAGGGAAGCTGAGACACATCTCCTAGCTGAGCAGCTACACGCCCAGAAAATACTCATATTACCACGAAAGCATGAGCGAAATCGCACTGGAGCTAGTAGCCTCTGCAATACTGGTTATGAGGGATTTTTCTGGAAGCTGTGAACTCTGTAAAATGTTCACTTGGATGGCCCCAGAACTTAAATTAGTATATGGTTCACGAGCGTCCTTCCCCACCCCCAGTTCTGAATGGAAACTGACACGAGCAAGAATGTATCTCTTGAAGATGGCAGCCTTTGCTGACAGAACCACATGAAAGGCAGGAAGGAGATCCGGCATG